ATCCGGTTATTAGAATGCGGTTATTAGAAACATGCTCAACATTTTATAAACTCCGCGACTTAGGTATAGTAACTTTTTGTTGTTATTTTTATTTAAACATATGTTTATGTAAAAATTGATTGACCACCATTATATCAAACATAACCAGAACATTGTGGACCTCGTTTTTTGACCGTTGCCCACACTATACTTGAGGTCATAAACAACGCTAAACGAGGTGAACATTTGTGTTGACACCATTCTGTTTATATTCATTGTGTTGTAAGAGTTTAGCGAAACTATTATACAAATCGTGACAAATGATACCGATTTTGTACAACAGTTTTATTAACACTTTTGCAACATTTTATTCGCCAATTCTTAGGCCCGGAAAGCAAATATTTAAATGCGTTAAAATATATACAAAATGTATACTGAATTTATGTAACAATATATTTAATGTATGTAATTATATTAAATGTGAATGAGGTTTTTTTTAATAATTAACAAATGTAACATTATTATAAGTTTAATTAAACTTAATTTCAAATTAATCTATTTTATAAATATTTATGGATTATTTAAGATGATTTTTAAAAACCAGTAAAATTACTATTATTACATAATAATTATTTTTAAGTATTTAATTTAAGTATATTTAATGCTTTACTTATGATACAACGTTAAATCTATAGCAATGTTAAATCTACCGTAAAGTTTGTGGTAATAATAATTTTATTAGCTAATGTTAAACCTATGATACTGCAAAGTTGATAGGTAGCATTAATTAGTCAAGTATTCGAGGTTCAGCTAATTAAGAATGCATGTAAAAATTAATATAAAAACTAAACTGCTTGATTTTAACCACAATTGTGACTAGATCAAACAACGCTTGCTTTAACATGTTATCTTTTTTCGAAATAATCAATACGTTTGTAAAATAATAATAATAATTAACATATAATTTATTTGGTTAACCTTCAATGGCTTATCAATTCAATTGACTGTCATTAAGTGATTGCAGCACTTATCTATTCATCAAAAAGTGATCTCAAGTGTTTTACATCATGGTTGCTGTTTGTGTGTTGTTTTGAATGGTAATATTAAATATTATTGTTGTTTAAGTTAAAGTTATTATTTTAAATATAAAGCACATTATGAGTTATACAAACATGGTCAAAATTTGTGTCGTTTGCGGTGATAAAGGGCGAGGTGAATTAAATAATGTTGTTTATTGTATTAAATATAATCTATCTGTTAATACAATTTTGTTTGGTATTTATAGCCAGAAATTTTGGTGTCTTTACGTGCGAGTCGTGTAAGTCTTTCTTTAGGAGATATGGACTTAAAGAACAGGTTTTTATTGCATATTAATTATAAATATTGATAAATGATATAAGTTTTAATTATTATTAATTAAAGTCAATTATTTTTAATAGCGATTGATTTGTCCATCAAATGGCAAATGCGATATAAATGTAATGACGAGACGGATGTGCCGTAACTGTAGGCTTAAGAAGTGTTTTGCAGTCGGACTCAAAAAAGTATTTATTAATTATTATTTTAAATATATTTTCATAACAAATATATTATATTTAAATATTATAGGAATTAATACGAAGTGATGAGGAAAACGATTACCGGAAAGAATTGATTAAAGAAAACAAATTAAAACATAAACTCAGCGATGAATACAATAATTGTATTGATTTTTCGGTTAATAATTCAGATATCGATTCAATGATTAGCGACACAACTATTGATGAAAACTTTACATTTGATTTATTAGACAATAATTCACTCACTATTAGTGATATTGAAGAGGAATTAATTGTATTTGAAAACAAAACAAGTGAAACATGTGTTTCAATACAAATTAATGAGAATAGAAATACTGTCAATGAAAGTAAACGCCAAGAATTGCCAGTAATTCCTGTATTTAAGACAATCAGTGATTATAATGGTATCAATCAATTGGAGTCCAAACGCATAGCAGAACTACTGAACGCTTCGGTTATATTTAATTATCCATTGAATATCAATGCGAGTATACATAGGATTAAAAATTTTGATGAAATGTTTTTGGGATTCCGAGACTTAAACGATGAGTTTGTTAAGCAAATCATTAATTTCTCAAAAAGTCTGAACGGATTCAACAATATCTGTGCCGACGATAAGTATGCGCTCATGAGATATGGGGCCAGAGATCAGGTGCTAATCCGTAGTCTTAAATACTATATTAAAGAGATCAATGGTTTTATATCACCAATTGTAAGTTATAAACTATAACACGACAAATATTATCATGGTTATTAAATTAAGTTAAACCAAATTTAATATTTATTTAGGATCCAACTCATGCAGTACAATTTAGCTTGAACCTCTATGAGCCACTCCATTTATGGACAACATTGAAAACATATTATGATAAGTTTGTATCAATATGGAATTATGATGATCACATTTTAATTGAATTGGTATTTTGTATTTTAATCAATATGAGTACAATTAAGTACAATGTAATTATTATATAATGTTTTACTTTAATTAAGTTGACAACAATTATGCTCTTCAATCCAGCTCAACCCAATTTGGTACATAGAAATATAATCAAGCAAGTACATTATTTATAGTTTAGTAGTTATTATAATAATTAATTAATTTACTTATTGATTATGGTCTAATAATAATACTAATTAATTGAATTGTTTGTTAGACTCGAACAACAACTGTATATATATTTACTGCAAAGATATCTACTATTGAAATACCGCTCGGAATCGGAATCACAAACAAGACTACAGGAAATAATGAATTCATTCAAAGATTTGAATACTTTAAATGAATATCAAATCAAACATTTCGATGAATTTAATTTTTATACAAAATATTTTGGACCTCTTATGAAGGAAATATTTTTGCCATGATGGCTTTTGAATGTTATAAATTTTAGGTTTTATCTACAGTAATAATTAAGATTAAAATTAAACTTGTAAAATACCGTTTAAATAATGTTAATAAATAATGTTTAGTTTATTAATTCAATTTGTAGTTTAATTGTCAATAATAAACCAAATTTAATAAATCTGAAATTTATCATCAATTAAATACAATAAGTTTGAAAGATTTTAAAGTTAAAATAATGAATTACACGTCAAAAACTATTTGTATTCAGAAATTTATAATGATTACTATTGTATTGTACAGTAGACAAAGTTAACAATACATTATTGTCAATCAAGTATACTATTTCAGCTAAATAAACTGTTCATTAACAACAGTACCATACAATAGGGGGGTGGGATAGTGGTGAAAACTATAGGGGAATGTATTTGAAACACATAGAGGGGAATAGACAACACAAATGGGAGAGGGAGTGGATAACAGAGTTTATGAGCAATTTGTGAATTTTAACGTTTATATTGAAATAAAACATCCAAAATGTAAATAGTACTATGTGCATAATGGTTAGAGTACAGGCCAGGTACCTGTATATCTCATGTTAGAAACTTCGCTCAGCGATATAAATTTTTTAATTTGTTTTTTATTATTTTTATGTGTGTGTGTGTGTGTGTGTGTGTGCACTTTTCTTCTGTTTACTTTAATAAATGTATTGATGATTATAATTCATTTGTCTGTATGTCTTGTCCTTCCGGAGTAATCCTCTCCCGAAGAAGTCCACTCCCGAAAAGCGTTGGCACAATGACCATGGCACTTTTTTAAAAAGAGATAATCAAATGCCGTAAAGTGTTTTAATATAAGTATTAGATAAAGAAAATAAAATTTAGCTATAAATTATAGCAATTGATCCAGGCAATTAAAAAATTTCATCACATTTATTTTTTAAATATATTGATTGCCATTGGATTACATTGCCAATGCTATTTCGGGAGTGGACTTCTTCGGGAGAGGATTACTCCGGAAGGACAAGACATACAGACATTACTTACTGTAACAAAACTGTGAGTTATTTATGACAAAGTTTAGTTTCATAGTAAATTTTTAAAAGACAATTTAAACTAGTTATTAATTCGTAATAGTAATTCTCATTTATTAAATGCAATTGAATATATATTGTAATATTGTAATAATAACATTGTATATTTGTTGAATGGCCTGTTTAAAAGATACATTATTTAAACCAACTAAACCCAATTTATCCTACTAACGACAGTTGACTTAACGTAATCTTTTAATATTATAAATAACTAGATTTAGTATTAATATATAAAGATATATTATTACAATTATAATTTATGGTTTAGTTATTATTACACTAGTAACATTAAGGTCTATCTATTTTTGAAAAGTTTTATACGAAATTTATGTAATCAATTTACTGATTTCTCATAGAGGGCTAAACCAATTTGTAGTGAATGATCATGGTCCTAAAAGTGTATAAATAAATAAATAATTAAACGGGTTACATCAAAATCAAAACTTACAATTGGTGTAATAAAACTTTCCGTCTCTCTATTATAATGTCTAAGCGATCGGATTAGCACCAGATCTCTGGCCCCGTATTTCATGAGCACATACTTATCGTCGGCACAGATGTTGTTAAATCCGTTGAGACTTTTTGTGGATTCAATTAATAATTTAACACATTTTTCATTTAAATATTGATAGCCAGACATTAATTCTTCCCAATTCTTAATCTTAAGTATATTTGTATTGTTATTCAACGGATGTTTAAATTCCTTGTAAGCCATCAGTAGTTCTGCTATGCGTTTGGACTCCAATTGATTGATACCATTATAATCACTGATTGTCTTAAATACAGGAATTACTGGCAATTCTTGCCGTTTATTCTTGTGATAAAATTTTATATCTGTATTATTTTCAATCGCAATGTTTTTGAAATCATTAAAATCAAGTAAATTATTGCCAACTAAATCAATCATAAAACTCTCGTCAATAGTTGTGCTGATATTCAGTGAATTATTATTATGTGAGACATTAATATTATTATTGGATTCATCTCTCGGTTTATGTTTTGACTTATTTTCTTTAATTAATTGATTTTTGCAATTGTTTTGCTCATCATTTCGTATATATTCCTGAAATTCCTTCATTTATTACTACTTTCATCAAAAATATTAATAATAAATACCGTTTTCATGCCGAAAGCCAAACACTTTTCAAGCCTACATTTACGACACATCCGTCTTGTCATTACATTGATATCGCATTTGCCATTTGATGGACAAATAAATTGCTATAAATATAATGTAATTTATTTTTAACACTTAATTTAAACACAAATATAACAAAAACCTCAGTTTTAAGTCCATTTCTACGAAAGAAAGCCTTACAGCTCTCACAAGTTATGGCACCAAAGTTTCGGGCTATAAATATAATGTTAATTGTATTAGAAGTCAATTAGGTTAGTATTACCCTGACTAAACTTACCTCGGGCTTTATCACCGCAAATATCACATTTTTTTGTAAAATTATTGCCACTCATATTTATTAATTTGTAGTTATATTTAAATAATACTAAAATTTATAATAATTTAGAGAATAAATAAACATATTTGTTTACAGACAATTTACATTTAATTGGTATACGTAATAAAAATACAACTATTTCTTCCCTGTAAAATGAATTCTCAGGGAATTCTCGCTAAACATTAATTACGGGAACGGGAAGGGAAATATTATTCTTATTTATACACACTTATTACTAGTTTAGGTTTTATATGAGTAGAAAGGGATTGAAATATTTTGCAATAATTTATTTGCGTTATAAATGTGTTGTGACATTGAAATCCTCCCACAGAATGAGATTTACAAATACTGTATGACTTATCATTAAATTCAATGACAAATATTATATTACTAGCCGTCAGCCCCGTCCACCAACTCTGTTACCCACCCCCTATTGTATGTTACTATTGTATTTGTGTGCACTTTTCTTCTGTTTACTTTAATAAATGTATTGATGATTATAATTTTAAACACACTATACGTTTATGAATGCATTTATTGTGAATGTATTGAATGTAAAAACGTGGCATTCATAGGCAAAAGTTCAGTTATTTTTATTTTATTACTTATAGAAGTAATAGTACTTTTGTACTAACATTGCTAATCATTAATTGTAAACTTTACATATAATGCCTTCTCTCTCTCTCTCTCTCTCTCTC